TATTTATATGCATATAAAAAGCTTTCTGGAATGTTCATTTCACAACGTCAGGGTTTGGAGATCCTGGTGATATTGTTGGATCTTCAGTCCTGATCTTTAGTTCCCTCGGTGGTTCCCGATCGTTTTTAGGTCACAGGAGATGAAGCCTCTTCAGGACTCTGGCGTGTGATGTGCTCAGTGAGTGTGTTTGTGCAGCAGACCGTTAGTCACCCTCAGCTGTTATACCTGCAGATTACCCTTGTAACCTATTTTTCTCTCAGTTTTACAGCCCGACTTCAGTCTTTGCCTTTTCTCTGTATTATTTATTTCAATAGTTTAAGATGATTAAAGTTCCTCCCTCTGCCTTTTCCTTTTATTATTCATGAGCTGAGTCCAGGGATGATCAGCCTTCCCCAAATCACTCAGATCAAAGCGCTCGTACGTCAGCCTGACACGCTCGGGCTCACGTAATCATACTTCCTCGCTCATTCGCCAGGATGAGAATCTATATATATTCTGGTCTTTGTTGTCCTCGGAGAACCTCCCGGCTGTAATCTCACAGCAGCGGCTTCGCTCTGACAGGATTTCCATTTCTTCTTCTCTCCCCGGATCTTTGCATCATGTCTTAAATCCGTCACATGCAGCGCTCTAATAAAACTGCCATTTCAGGCGAGTCTGATCTCACACCTACTTTTACAGGAACTCATTTCACACTCCAACCCTCTGCACATCCTCCTTCACTACATCCATGAACCTCCACCTGCCTGCAGCTCCATCTTCATCCTTCACCCTCCCTCCTCTGCACATGCTCAGACCATCTCAGCCTCTCTGACTCTGAGCCGTCCCTCACGTCCAGCCTGCTCACTGAACACCTGAACACCTTCAGCTCGGCTCCACCCATCACAGCAGGTCTCACCTCCATCCTTTGACCTTCCCTTTTCACGGTGTCCTTCTGTCACACTTGCCTCCACCCGCTCCACCTGCCTGCACTCTCTTCGTCACCTCTCTGTAGACGGTTGAGCCCAGGTATTTAAACTCATCCTCTGCTCCAGCATGTTCACCTGCCCCTCTCTCATTCGCACACATGGATTGTTTCATCTTCTACAACTTTCATTCCTTTTCTCTCCAGGCTCACCTTCACCTCTGCAGAGCAGACCTCCACCTGCTCTAAGCTCTCACTGGAGATCATAAAGACTCCTGCCTGACATCATCTGCAAACAGGAAGGGCCTCAGAGCAGATCCCTGATGTACTCCCACCTCCACCTTTATCCCAGCTGTCACTCATACGCACCCTCACCACTGTCTCATAAACAGTGCAAATGAAGGCTTTCAGGTGCTGATGTGGTATTTTGTGCTAAAACCTAAAGATAAGTAGTGCTGCTGCGATGCACATGCAGAGCAGGAAAGCCTTTAAAGTAACTCATTAACAATTATCATTGACCGGCTGGAATATATCCAACACGTTTCATTTCTCCTTTGTTAAGATATTTGAGTTTAAAGAAAAGACAGAGCAGCTGGAAATGTGATAAGAGTCAGTGAGACTGATCCTTTCTTAGAGTATTTGAATCTGAAAGGTGTCTGCTCGTTTACTCTCAGAAGATGATGATGATGCTGAAGATCTTGCCTATATCTCAATTTCTTGTACAGGAGGAAGAACAGAGTTCCTGCTGTGAGCAATTCAATTCAGTTTTATTTACACAGCGCCAAATCACAACAACAGTCGCCTCAAGGAGCTTTATATTGTAAGGTCGACCCTACAATAACACATACAGAGAAAAACCCAACAATCATATGACCCCCTATGAGCAGCACTTTGGCGACAGTGGGAAGGAAAAACTCCCTTTTAACAGGAAGAAACCTCCAGCAGAACCAGGCTCAGGGAGGGGCGGGGCCATCTGCTGTGATTGGTTGGGGTGAGAGAAGGAAGACGGGATAAAGACATGCTGTGGAAGAGAGACAGAGGTTAATAACAGGTATGAGGAGTTTTTACCTGTCGAGTGCCGGCCCAGCTTCAGCATGCGGAGCGACCTCAGGAGGCGGAGCACCTGCACCACACGGCCCATGTTCTCCAGCTCAGTGGATCCTCCGTGGAGGTTCTCCACCGCCAGTGTCACGTAGAACGGGAGGATGGCGAGCAGATCGATCACGTTGGGAATGCTCCGACTGAATCGGCACTTGTCCCTGACGCAGAGGAACCGAAGCACCAGCTCGATCGTGAACCACACAACACACACGTATTCCAGGGCGTCGAAGAGCAGCGGAGCGCCGATGCCGAGACCACCCGCTCCAAAGTCCTCACCTAAGTCCAGCGAGATGAGCACCATGTTGATGACCGACAACACCACGAAGAACATCGAGAGCGAGCCAAAGGTCCGAGCAGCACGCGATGACTCGGGTTTCTCAAGGACGTCCCAGAGGCGGCGGCGAGTGCCTGGGCAGGCGACGCCCGCAAAGTCCTCATCCCCATCGTCGGCATCGAGCTCCCGTTGTACCTCGAGGCTTTCCTTCTGCTCCTTGCGGCGGTAGTAGCGCTCACGGCAGCAGGGTTTGATGCAGAGCTCGTCGATGCCCCAGTACTCGATCTCCTGTAGGAAGGAGATCTCACACAGCTCCTCCATGACGTGCAGGTGACCCGTCTGGTAGTAGTTCATCACGTACCTGTGGACAAACACAAAGACACAGGTGAGCTCAGTCTGCACGATTCTGACTGAAGAAACAGTCCAAACAAACATCCAGAGTCTGGATCAGAGCAGTTCAGGGTGACGGTCCAAAGCAGAGACCTGCCAGGCTTCAGTGCTGTTCTCCTGCATCCTTCTAAAGTCCAGCAGTGGGCGACTCCTCTGAAGCCTGATTGGACAGAAGTCTACGAGGAGGTGATCCCCCTGCTTAGCCGATCTCTGGGCTCAGTGACGTCCGTCCTTATGGCTTGAAAGAGCCTTGGCGTCCTTCATCTGAGATAAACCAAAGTCCTCTAATCGTCACCTGTTCATGGAGCCAAAATAAAATTTATAAGGTGAACACGACCGCCGCCATGTCTCTTATGTTAGTGAAATCTCACCATATTGGCGTGATGAACGAAAGGTGGATTAAACTAAAAACCAGGACAGAGTCATGTGGTAGCGACCGCAGAAGTAGACAGGAAGTCCCGCTAAAGGGACTTCAGTCAGACTGAGACCAGAAACCCATCAGGACGGAAGGACTGAGCTCAGAGATCAGCTGAGCAGGAGGAACACCTCATCAGAGACTTCTGTCCAATCAGAGGAGCCGCCCCCTGCTGGATATCACAGTATATGTTCATAAACCTTCAAATTTATTTGGTTTAAATTAGAGATGGACTGATCCGATATTACCTATCAGTATCGGTCCGATACTGACGTAAATTACTGGATCGGGTAACGGAGAGAAATAAAAAATGTAATTCGATCCATTAAATATCAGAAAAGCACCTCACAAAACTTGCTACATGGCGTAACTCAGCTCATAACCGTAGCACGTGGGAGCAGTGTGGTCACGTGATAGAGCGGCTGTTGTGTTTGTAGCATCGCTACCAAACCAGCATTTCATCTCCGAGGAAGTAAGTTCATCTCTGAATGTTTGTAAAGCTTAACCGATATATGGAGCGACTGCCTCCCCCTCCCTCTCCTGTTGCTGCTTCAATCATGATCAATGATCAGCTGATCGTCTCTCCTTTGTTTTTGGCCTACTTTGCACCAGAAAGAGGAAACCAGCAGCTGAACAACAGCAGCACGTTTAAGCTTGATAAGCTGCTGTTAGAATGTATTTAATATTACTTTCTACTCGAGGATCTTTTTCTATGCAGCTGATGCTGGTAACTGTGCAGGGGCGGATCTAGCATGGTTTAGCCAGGGGGGCCGATAGGGCATTAACAGGGAAAAGGGGGCACAGAGACATACTTTTCTTTCTTATTCTCATTTAAAATGTCGAGCTTTTAATAAATAATTATCTGAATCTTACACCCAAAGTTTTAATCTGATGTAAAATGTATAGAAGTCCATTACTGTATATAGTAACTGTTAAGTCTAATATACCCTAGTAAGCTATAGTACTTTTTCCATCTGTGCAGTTCTGTTGAAGAAAGATGTTGAATCTATTTAATTATTCTTGAAAAATAATTTATTTCTGTGCATTTTTTCCACCCTGCATCAAATTAAAGTTGATTACGTCGATTAAGCATCATGAGGTGGGGGGTGGTTCCCTATTTTTTTTTGCTGGGAGTTGGAACCCTATTAGTTAGGTTGCTTAATATTTCTGCTAAGTTCTCTTTAAAATACCAGAACAGGGAGGATGGAGCAGGTTTAAGTTTATTAGATTGATCAGTTTTGCTGAACTGTGAAATATTTTGGCTGCAGTGTATTTTTTACATACAGTATAACAGAATAGCTTTAGTGTTGTTGTTTATTTAAACTTAAGTATGAACTTATACAAAATGCAGTAAGATATTAAAAAAACGTTTTATTGATTAAAAACACTATATCGGATTCATATCGGTATCGGACATAAAAAAGTGGTATCGTGCCATCTCTACTTTAAATCAGATGTCATGAAACAAGAAGAAGAAAAGACAGAAGGAAACTTTATTTTCATGTGTTCAGAGCCCCTCACCGTCTGAGCGCGCCCGATCAAGGCACGATGCTTGCCGTCAGCGTGCCGGACGTGACCCTGCTATTTTACTGCAGAAAACTGAGCTGACTAAGCATGCTCACTCTTCACTTCTTCACCCTTACTAATCTGAACGGAGGTCACCTGAACATAGACCGCCAGGTGTGAAGTGAAGCTTCCTCTGAGCGATGGCAAAGATAAAAGGGAAGAAATGCGATCGAATTTTAAATCAGATGTCATAAAAATATAAAAACAGACAACAACACCTAAAAATCTGCCTGTGTGTTGATGGTGTTGTCATGGTAATCTGAAATCCTGGCCACATGATGAAAACAAAAACGCTGAACTCAAACTAACTCTGGAAGCTAAAAAAACCCTCAAATAATTGATTTAAATAAAAACTAATAAAAAATAGAAACCTATAACGTCTGCAGCTCTGAGTGCTCTTACATGTAGTTTTTAATTTTACGAGTCATCAGCGCCGTGTCTACAGCAGCTACAGGCAGGCCTGGGCCCTATTTCAGGAAGCCGGTTTAGAAAACTCAGAGT